AAATATTTGACTTTATTAATTTTCTCAGATGGGGTCTTAGGCTTCACTAGACTGAAAAAGGAGTCCATAGTACAAAACAAGTTATAAATCCTTCCAAAGGGCCAAATAAATGTTTCTGATTTTGCAGTCCATAAGGTTTCTGTTGCAACTTCTCAACTCTGCCAGGCAGTGCAAAAACAGTGACAAATAGTAAGTAACTGAAAGAGCGTGACTGTTTTACTAAAATGTTATTTACAAAGACAGGTGGTGGGCCAGATTTGACAACCCCTGAATTAGACTGGCGGTAATTAGCCAGCATCGCTCTAAAACAGAATAATGGTATTTGTAAAAAATTTTCGGTAGTCCCCCAAGTCCTGTATAATCTGAATCCAACTGTCCCTCCTGTTTTGTTTCTTTTTCTTAAAGTCCCAAATATTTTCAGCCAAACAGAATTATTTTAAGTTCTCTACGCATATTATATATCTTCTCTAGAGTTCTGGATATGCTACACCTTACACCTAAAACATCCTCACTGACCAATCCTTACCATCCTTCAGGTATCAGTGTGAATAATTCAGTATAGTACTGCAGTTAAGAAGAACATAGGTTATGGAGCAGATTGCCTGGGTTTGAGTCCTAGCTCTGCCTCTTAAAAGCTATCTGACCTTGGGCATGTTACATAATGAAAGTGAGCAGTAAATTTTGGCACTTTGACAATCATTATTAATGACCAACTTACCCCGTGCTTCAATAGAGTTTGTTGTGTTATCAACAATAAGAATCACTAGTATAGAAAATACTCTATTAGAAATAAAATGTTTAACCAAAATTACAAAAATTACCAACCTGTTGACGAAAATTCTTTTTCTTCTAGAGAGCTAGAGCTGTCAGAAGATGAACTCTGATCATCCTTACTTTCTGAGGAGTGGTGTGTTCCATCTTCTTCATCTGTTGACAGATCAACTGTTCTGGATTCTAATAGGACATTTTTTTTAACATAATAAAGAATCAAAATAATGGAATCAATAATTAAAATTCTGAACACATGGCATATCTATAATACGGTATTTTAATCCTACTCCACATATTTAAAATATACAGATCTTTCTCCAACTTCCAGTGTTTCTGAAACAACTGGATGGTCTAATACATGTATAAAGATTTACTCTATTTGTATTATCTACATGTCTAATAAAATATTTTCAGAAGGATGCAATGAGAAAAGGAAAAAGGAAGGAAACATTAGAGAAAAAAATAAATGGACAAAAATTGAAGCAATATTTAGAAAAGAAAAACAGTGGCAGTGAATAGAAAAATAGTGGTAGTGAATAAGTAGAGAAAGTATTTAATGACTTGCTATATGCTAGGCACATTGAAACCTATCTTACATGACTTATTAATATTTTGTTTAATACTCACAGTTCTATAAAGTAAATGCTATTTCTAATGCAGACACTTAAGATTGATAAGATAAATATTAATAACACAAACTTAGTAAGTGGAGAAGCAGGGCTTTCAACTTAATTCCATTCAACTCCAAAATTTAGGCTCTCCTTATACTATGACATTATTTCAATGTCTGGTGGCAAGAAGTACTAAAATGAGCACTTTGGTCAAAATTAAAGCATGAGTCTATCTTTTCAGTGTGGGATTTTGGGAAGGTCACTTAGTCTGTTAAGCTCAATTAATCTATTAAACAAGGACAACATTGCAACATAAAACCCACAGGGGTGTTGAGAGAATTGAATGAACAAAATGTAAAGGAATTCTTGACATTACTGACAAGAAAAGATTTGTTAGTTCACAATAATTTGCCAATCTCCATGAGTAACCTTAAAAAATAAGATGACATGGTTTTCTTTATCTTAATATTTTACCTTAATTAGAAGACCTACAGACAGTTTAAAGAAGTCTGGAGTAAAATTAAAACTTAAAAGACTAAAGGAAGACAGCTGCAACTCACATTTATCTTAGCTACTGCTATTTATGACAACCCCTATGTGTTCCCGAAGTGTATTAACACCAAAACAGTGCCTCTCAAAGTATGGCCCATCAATCCCTGGAAATCCCTAAGATCCTTTCAGAGAGTCTGTGAAATCAAAACTACTTTAATCATAATACTAACATGTTAGCTGTTCTTTTCACTGTGTTGACATTTATAAAATAGAAGAAAAAGCAGTAGTGGGTAAAACTGCTGGCCCCTTACTATCAATCAAGATTGTGACACCAATTTGAGGTAGCAGTTATTGTATTCTTAATCACTACGCATTGGCAGGGGAAAAAAAAAAAGTTTCACTTATTTTACTTCATGAAGCCATAAGAACTTTTTAATTTCATTAAATCTTAACCCTTGAGTACACATCTTTTTAATATTCTGTGTGACAAAATGGAAGTACACATAAGGCACTTTTGCTGCACACTGAAACGCAATGGTTGCCTTAAGGAAAAGTATTTATGTGAGTTGCAAGCTGAACTAGCCATTGTTTTCAAGGTGATACATCATTTTACTTGAAAAAATAACTAAAAAAAAGTCTGGTTACTCAGACACAGGTATCTGACAAACGCCTGCTTAAACACAAGCCAAGCTGTGCCTATCACTTCAAGCATGAGAGATTTGAAGTGAAAATTGGAATTCTGGAAAACCTGTATCCTCCACTGTGAACTTCGCAGTTTCTCAATACTTAAAGACTGACGAGATCAGTGCTAATATTAAGTGATTTTTTGATATTGTATAACAAAATGCCTGAACATTTGCAAGATCTGCAAACCTAGCAAATACTTCCCCAATAATCAACGCACAGTATTATCAATCACTCATGAGTAAAAGATCCAAAGTGCCAAACAGACCAATGAATTTTAATGTAACAGAGAACCAAAAATTTACGGATACAGTTTAAGATTCCATGTTGCAACTAACCTTTAAGAAACTATTACTTGTTAAGCTTTGCTGTAATATTAAAGCACAACACCCTCAATAATCTAAAAAGGCTGTTAGATATTCCTCTTAGCCATATATCTGTGAAAGGCTGTCTTTCTTCAAATACTTCAATCAAAACAATATAATACAACAGATTGC